TATTATAATTGTTCAGGGCGGAGGACTTGTGCAGGAGTCTAGGGGGGAAGGGGGTCTGGAGAGGGTCGTTGTAAATGAACAACATAGAGTGCGACGAACTTTCGGACCGGCGCAGTAATGATGGCGACGATGATGATGACGATGATGATGATAGTGATGATGCTATTTTGGCGCCATGTATACCAGACCAGAGGAATGGCAAACCAAACACGAGGAGATGATTTGTCTTTTGTATGTTTTCGCCCCTCGCTACGCCAGACACAAAGGAATGACGTAGCGACGTAGCGCCTCTTAGTCTTAATCGCGGCACAGCCTATTCTATAATCCTGCCAACACAACACACGCAACGGATTTGTGCTGGGACTGTACTGCTCAAGCGCAGGAACACAGTGCCAACACCGCACCGATCAGGGGGACGGCAGTCCACTTCCTCCATGGGTGGGCGAACGGGAACTTCAAGCAACGGAACTGGCAGCAGCTGCTAGCTCACACAGGCCGCCCCACGGCCACACAGTCTTCACTCCGCTGCTGCAACTGCAACGGACAAGCAACACACACTCGTTAAACCGTTAAACTGTTAAACACGCAGCGTATCCTAGCAAGTCCGCAACACTGAACAGAGACCCAAGCAAGCCAACGAAGCCAGTCCTGAACCCAACTGCACACTCACGCCCCTTCTTTTGTCTTATAAAGGTGGTGGAGAGTACGGCCAGCAACATTTCACTGACCTCACGGCTAACGGCTAACAATCGATCCTAGCCGACATCAGCCAAGTGCTGACAAGAATAACCATCAGCCGCGTCGCTGACAAATATGCACCCTGCCCAAAGTTTTCGATGGGGCGAGGGCGGGCGGGAGATCAAAATTTGTCTCTCAAGTTACACTGTCACAGAAGGCCCACCTACCTACTCTTTCAAGCGCCGTGAAACCCTACCACTTGCAGCTGGCAAGCACGCACTTTTGCTGTGGGTTGCGCAGCCAAGTCCGACCAGTCTACCCAAGCCTGAAAGAAATCTACAAGCTAGTTTACAGAAAGCTGTTTGCTGCCAAGCTGAAAACCCCTGCTTCGAGCAGCAAACTTACAAACCGTTCATGCGTCGCTTCGCTCCGCAGGCTACAACGAGTTCCTACATCTACATAACACCGAGACGCTTAAAGTCTTAAAGTGCAATCGCTTCGCTCCGCACGATCCGCGGGCGGCTCCTGCAACTTGCGCCACCGGACTACCCCGGCACTGATCACTGCGCAAAGCCACACAGCTGCAACAAGACATAGACTCTGGAACGCTGCACTTTACACGTGCGCCAACGTGGGCCAACCTCAGTGTCCTACCTACATGCGCGCAAACCTCAAGCGCACAGACACCAAGTCGCACACTCTCGACCAAACAGCAGCAATGACACGGGAGGGCTCTAACGGATCCCTCTCTTCGCCCCTCCGCTTCCCTACGGTTCGACCCGCCAGTTTGGAGCCAGTGACATTTTGCGTGAAATGAAACGGAGATGAGTCAGGCGCAGGCAGCGCAGGTACGTTTTCATAGGGTGTAGGGCAGGGCTTTGTTGCATGGAAGAAATGAAAACCAAAAAGAAAAAGGGCGTGACTTCCTTTAGCCGCCTTAGCCTTAGCCCATGAACGCCACAGACACACACACACACACACACACACACACACACGCACTTACACACACACACACACACACACACGCACAAACACACTCACACACTCACAGGCGCACCAGGGGACATAGAGCATTATAGTCTTCGTCACAAGCCGCAGCTTGCGCGCCAATCTCATTCTGGCTTTTGAGCCTGGCTGGAGCAGGCACCTTATTCAACAAGGGCAGAGAAATGCCAGGTGTACACCACAGACTCTCCAGCGTGACAACTACACCGACCATGCGCAGGCCAGCAAAGACATCTCGCAGGCTATCTGTCGAAAATGAAGACAAACAAGTGGCAACGGTCAAAATCGGACGCAGAAGGCCTGGCTGTTGCGGCGCCATCACAATTTTCGAGTTCTGCAGAACTGCACCTGCCCCAAGGATGACCCCCTCTCAATTAACGTGATGTACCAATGCGAACAAACGCGCTCTTCGCCTGCATCTTCTAGAACATCTCCCTTGCGCAGACCTTGCAGGGAACCAGGATGGGATACATCGGCTACATGAGTGCAGCAAACAGTCTCTGTGTGCGCTAGGAACGTTAGCACTATTTACTATTTCACTGCTACTAAAACATACTAAAACTATTTCTAATCAGAAAACACCACACCTTGCTTGAGAGCTGCTCCAGCTGGCCAAATCGCCATTGCACACGCAAGCCCACAAAGAAATGCAAGCATGATTCGACGCGGCGGCTTGAATCAGCACAGATTGTGCTCTCTCAACAGACGCGAACACTGTAGGTTGCAGTCTTGCCAGGAGACATCTGTCACGGCAACCGTCTCAGATGTTTTTGCTGGAAACCCTACCGCACACAAACCTAGCATGACACTGGAAGCACGGTGTTTGGATGCACAGTGCACATGCCGCACACAGCGGCGGCGCCGTGGATCAACTCCCCTGTAAAGGAAGTGCACTCGGGCACACCCTTGGCTCATCTGCCAAACGCTATCAAATCATAAACAAACGGCGGCGTGCAGGCGGGTGCAACATAAGCGAGAAGACAAATCAACACAAGACAGTGGCAGCCAGGCAGGAGGCGCTGCAAAAACGGCTGATGTGCTGTTTGGGGGCTGTTCTTTATTATGGTTGCAGCCCGTAACTCGAAAATCGCCTTGCGCTTCGCCCTTGCGCGCTCTTGCGCGTACACGGTTTTACACACATTCCCACCCTGTAGTAGCAGTAGTAGTATCATTCCCCACGCAGCGAATCGTCCGTCTTCGCCTAGCGAGCTGACAGGTAGCACGTTGTTCATGCGTACCCGGATCCTCTGTGGGATCTAGAGGGCCATCGGCCAGCTCTATCGAAATACTTACTCATCCTACCTTCTCTCATCCTTCACTCATCTTGCACCTGACGCAGCCATAGAAGGTAGCTGCTTGGTGCATAGTCATCAGAAGCGAGCTGTGCAGCAATGTTGTCGTCTGTTACCCACGCTCTCAGGTGCCCAAACTTCTTTTGCCCGTAGAGCACAGTTCGATAATGTCCAGCGTCCGGGCTGTCGCCAAAGTGGAGCTGCGCAGCAACCACCTGATATTGGGCCCAGGAGCATTGAATGTTGGTATCAGCATCAAAACAGGGAAGCCGAACTGGTGTTCTATGCCCTTGCAGCGGCCTTGTGTCGCGTTGCAGGCCACTTGAATCCCCCGTGAACCTCTGCAGCTGTATGCACAGGTATGTCGGTGCATTCGTGAGGGCATGTGGGGCCGCCTGAGAGTGCCACTGATCTATCACCCCTTGAAGGTTCAGCGTTCCCCCTGCTGGCAGGGCCATGATAAGAGGCGAGATAAGTGCTCCACCATCTTGCTTGTGCACCCCATGTGGCGTGTCAAGTCGGGCCTCCCAACTCGCCTCCAGGCCTGTATTGCAGAACCTCGGTAGCAGGTAGGTGATAAGCTCGGCGACATCATGTTGCTGATGCAAGTGCCTCCAGTTTCCAAGCAGTGCCCGCCATGGCAATTGGGACACAACCTGAAGCGGTACACAGGATCCACGCTGGGTAGTGCGTAGCAGGTGCTGGAGGTCCTTGGCCAGCACCGGTTGCCCTGGCCCATGTAGCTGAGCCTGCAGGACTGTCCACGCATAGGCCACAAGTGTGGAATTGAGATAGCACAAGTTGGTGGCATTGTGCAGGGATAGCTTTAACACAGACTTAAGGCCGGGGACCGCACCTACTCCCGACTCCAAATCTGGCTCACCAGATTGTCGTAGTTCGGACGGTCTCGTCGTAGACGGCACCCCAGAGTGTGCCACGCGGATTGGCCGATCCATTGTTGAAGCGTACTCCAAAGTGGAGCACCGTCCATCCGCAGGGAGACCACGATCTGGAACTGCACCCAGTCCGTCGTGACCTCGGTGGAGAGGGGCCGGATGCTTTTGAAGCGAAGCAATGTCTCCTCCGTAGTGGCCTTCCTGAACTGCACAATCTGTGCCAGCAGATCTGTTGTCGAGACAGCCCGAAGGGCATTCTCCACCTCCAGAACTTGCTGCGCCGGATTCCATTTCAGGACCTTCCAGCACTGGTCGCTGTCCAGCCAACCCAGGGATCGAGCATGCTCCATGGCCTGTTGCGACTTGGCCGTCTCCGTCAATCTCTCCTGGAGAGAGATCAGGAGCTGCTTGAACATCGTGAGCTTCAAGGAGTAATTCAGTTTGTCCGGTGTTTCCTCCCTGATGGTTCGCCACTTGTCCGCCGCTTGGCATAGGACCGGAATCATGCCATCGTTCCCCGTCCTCATGAACAATTATATCTTGACGGAGGGACGCAATGACCTGCTCCTGTCTCAGGGCAAGCTGGGTGAGCTTCTCCACTCTCCCTTCCAGCGACGTTGATCGAGAGGCCCTGTCTGGCACCCATGGTTGATCCTGATCGTCGTCGAAGCCACTGGAGTATGCCCACATTCGTGCCGACGGGTAGACTCCCTGTGGTAGCGGGGAGTTCGTCTTTCCCTTGCCTTTGCCCTTGCTTCGTCCTTTGGATGAGTCCTGGTGCTCCAGACGTTGCCTCTTTCCCAGTACCTGGGAGGTCTGATCCCTGGCGGGTGCAGTCTGGTCTCGCTTGAGTGGCCCCATCTGTCCGAAGAAGAGCTTTTCCTGCTCGTCCAGATCCATCTCCGCCCCCGTCATGTTGTTGCTGCGCCGCTAGAAAAGCACACAGGCTGAGAACGTGACATTGATACCAGTGCCTGTCCTTATTAATCTGAGTGAGGTGGCAATATCTACAGGGCACAACAGTGTGTCGTCGGAAACCTGAGAGCAGCTTACGAACTTCCGTCTGTAGAGCCTTCCAGTTCGGATGCACAGCCGTGAGATGGCATTTAAGCCCCCCTGGTGTCGCAGCCCATTGCACGCAGATCGGACAGTGGTATGCAAGATATGTTTGCACCTGCTGGTTGAGGGGTAGGTCAAACCATCTTCCCTTGTCCAACGCGTCCTGGACCTCCGGCCAGGCACAGAGCGGCATAGTCGGGGTACAAGGAGGGGGTTGCTCTTCGTAGACTGCTTGTGGACAGCAGGGAGGGACAACCGTGGCGGGCAGGCGTGCGGCTTCTGCACAGAGTCCCGGTTCGGCAGAATCCGATGGTAGCGGATCCTGAGCTGTTTCTTGCCTCAAGTTCGGTGCAGTCGGGCGCGGTGGGGCCACAGGAGCTGCTGTGGCCGGTTCGGGTGCCGAAACGGAAGGCGGTTTATCCCTGAGGACCTTGCAGCGGTTCTTCTTGATGCGCTTGATCAGATTATCCCATTGCCTGAAGCGATGTCCACAGTGCCGACAAGTGGGCAAGCCGCCAGTGCCGTGTGCAAATCGATCAAAAGGTTGAGTGTCGCACTGGGGTGTGCGCTGACCATGCTTCTTAGCCTCGTGCGATCGCAGGAGGCGAAAGGATGCAAAGCTCTGGCCGCATTCCACACAGGTGTGAGGTAGTAGCCCCGCCTCCGGTTCAGCAGGGGCATTCCACTGCATCTCCCTCTTGGCCTGGAGCATAGCCGCTTGTTCTCGAACGTCCTCGATTTCCGGCGCCTGGACGAAGTCAGAGTGATCCTGAAGAAGACACATCCGCTTGTGTAGAGCAGTGGCCTCCCTCGTAAGGCTATCCAGTGCTGTGGGCACCTGTAGACGATGATGCACGTTCATGGTGGACTCTTGTTGCAAGTGCGCATACGAGTGCGCCATGGCACGGGTGTGTTTGATGACGAGGGCCTGCACTCTCCCGATGTCGCGTGGACCTAGCCGTACTGCGGCCAGGCCGTAAAGCAGAGTGGGCAAAACAGTCGATTTCCAGAGAGAGATGCGGGCTGTCAACTGGAGCTGCCTGGGGGAGCAGAGAATTCGTCTCAGGCGTTGCCAGGCAGCATTGGCTGCCTGAATGCGATGTAGGGCCGTATGGCTCGCCATGGCATGGTATGTGTGCTGCTCTCGCAGGGGGATGCGGTACGCGGTGCCTCCAGGAGTTCGGAAGTGCAGGAAATCTCCCTCCGATGTAGAGAGGTAGTGTCGTCGCCTCCATTTCTTGAGGAAGGATCCGCGGTGTCGAAGGAGGAAGGCTGATTTCCCCGCATTGATGAGCATTCCCTGTTCAGCCAGGGCATCGAGCACGAGCCCAAATCGGTAGAGGGCCTTGTCCAGACCTGTGGTGGTGGTCGCAGTCTCCTTGAGGTGTATGTCGTCAGCGTAGGTGGTGGAGTTGGCCTGGAGCCAGGGTTGCATGGTGTCAGGTGAGGAGCTATCCCAGATGTGCTTGTAGATCCAGCCCACAGCCATAGCCCACAGGGTGGGAGCTAATTGGCAGCCTTGACGCAGGCCTTGTTGGGCAGTTATCTCCGTCTGTTTGCCTAGGTGTTCCACCGTATAGCAAACTTGATAGTACCACGACATGACTTCATGACGGAGTGCCGTAGGTACCCCCGCCTCGGCCATAGCCCTGTCCAGCAGCGGCCATCTGACCAGGTCAAAAGCGCTGGAGAGATCCAGCGATAGTTGGATCCCCACAAAGCTAGGTGCAGGAGCTGGTAGGCACTCCTGCCGGTCCGCCACTGTGCGAGTGGCGTGGGAGCACTTCTGCTCCACGTACCTGCAATGCGCAGCGACTCTTTGGATTGCCATAGCCGCATCCCTGTGCGGAAGGTAGGCAAATTGTGTTATGCCTCGAAGATATTCGGCAGCAAAGGGTCGAAGTTGTACCTGAAGCATTCGGGCATAGGCGCGCCCACTGGATTCAGTCAGGCCTATCGGCCTTAAGTTCTTCGGAGACAGCGGCCGAGGTATTTTGGGTACCAGGACGAGCCACGCATTCCTCCACAACTGGGGGATGCTGGTCCCTTCCTTGGCCCAGTGGGCTATCACAGGGGCTACCACGTCAGATGTAATACGCCAGAGCGCGTTGGAGGCGAGTTCCGGTGGAGTGGCTTTGTGGGGCGACAGCGTAGCCAAGGCCCTGGCCAGGGCTGCAGGGTCAATATCCAGCCGGATCGCAGCGCGGGGGAGACCCGCAGTTTCAGGAGTAGAGTCCGCGGCATAAAGGCTTCGGTAGTGCCTTTCCAGCTGCTGGAGCTGTTCAGCAGGTTCCTGAAGTCGACCTTGCGGATCACGCAGCTGAACTTTAACTCTGTGCTGCTTCGGGGCTAGGGAGCGCACACCCGCGTAGAGGGTTCTGGTGTCTCGTGCGTGAGCAGCCTTCTGCAGATCCCCAATTCTGTCACGATACCACTGCTTTTTGCATTCTTTTCCAGCCTTCCGAAAGTCGCGATGTGCTTGTTTAAATTAAGTCCGGGCATGCGCGGGCAATGCGGAGCGGGTCAAATGGTGGGGTCCTGGCGAGTAGCTTCCACCGGCGATAGCGCTCCCACAGGCTCTTAATGCCGCCATGCATGGCAGTCGTTTGCCAAAGAGCAAGGCGTTGTGTCCTGGCTGGAGCAGGGAAGAGTTCCGTGGCGCACTGGACAAGCAGCTGATTGAGGGATAAGAGGTTATCAGCCGTATGAATTCTGTCCTGGACATACCGACAGAGCTCAGCCCATCTGGGGTCAGTGGGGTTGCGGCTGAGTTGAACCACCGCCCAGTGGTCCCACGTCCTACGCACCACAGGGGGCTTGTTGAGACGTGTAAAGCGAATCAAGGGTAGGCTCGCAAACACTGGTATGTGCTTGCCTCCGAGCCTCCACTCGGCCAGACCCAACGGTTTGGGTCGGGCCTGCTTGGCTCGATTATCCGTCTGTTCAACCCTCATGAGAACATGATCAATGAGACTGGAACCTTTGGAGTGCACAAAGGTTGGCCCTGAGGTCCTGCACCAGGAATTGAGATGAACAAGGTTATGGGTCTCAAGGACATGTTGTAGCCTGGACTGGTCCGGCGGGGGGGTGCCAGATCCGGCGCCAATGCGGCATGTGGGCTACTGGGCAGAGGACAGTTGAAGTCCCCTAGCAGCATAAGGGTGCTGCGTCTGGGCACGCGACGAAGCTGCTCGTGAAGAGCATGCCAGATTTCGGCCCGGAGCGTCTTGGAGTCCTTGGCTGCTGATGGGTGACTGTTGTGCGGTTTCTGGTAGACATGTAGTACGTCAGCCGTCCACTGCTGGTGTATGATGCGAATATGCTGGATGCGTCCCGGCTGGGGATCGGCAAAGGCTACTTGCGCATGTTTGAGGAGATCTTTATGAACCAAGACGGCAAGCCCAGCCGATTTGTTGTCCGTGGTGGGCGAGGTATACACTGTCCACTGGGCAGTGACAAAGGTAGGGGCTACGGTGGCACCCCAGTGGGTTTCCTGCACACAAATGAGCTGCCGACGTTCGGGCGGGGGGAGCTTGTCCACCATGAAAGGTCCGAGGAGCCGAAGCGCCGGCGACGGGACTCTCAATCGAGCCGGGCATATCTGGGGGTTTGCTGCCACTACCAAGCAGGAAGCACATCTCGTGCTGCATCTGATCTTGTGCCTAGGATGGCTCCACCACCTGATGAGCCACCACCATTCGATCCTGGTGCCCAGTGCCAACACCACCCACTGCTGAGAGTGCTATTTCCTCTGTGCAGGTACGGAATCGGGCAAGATTCGGCAGAGGCTGCCTCGCCCCCACCTTGTTGGCGGAGGTTGGTCGATGGTCTGCCTTCTGCGAAGGGCTCTCAACAGCCCTACCTAGGCCCTGGCAACTGCCCGGCACGAATGCCAAACTGCATGCCCAGATCCTTGCAGGTTCGCGGCTCCCACTTGAAACGCACTCCGGACTGCGCTATGAAGCCAGGTGTGCGTGCACCTCCGCGGACTCCGAGCTCCATCCCGGCCAGTGCCCGATTTTGTTTTCGCAGGCTAGGACCGCGTCTGCACTACTTTGCCCTTTCAGGTCTGTCTGCTTCATTGGCAACAGGCCCGTGGCCACCGACCGGACATGGCACCAGACTCCCCTGCCTACCGTCGACTCCCCTGCCTACCGTCGACAGGGCTGGCCGGATAGCTACCAGGACACCACGACCTGTGCGGTATGCCAGAGGTCTGCCCCCCTCCTGACCGCGCGCGCATCAGGGACTGCTCTGGGCGCCGCAGGCACGCCAGGCCACCACCGGCCTTGCCGTGGATACGGATCTGCCCAGGCACAGCCTAATCGCTTGTCAGGAGATGACCTGAGCCCCCAGGCAACCTCTACTGGACCAAAGGCCAGAGAGCAAGCTGACCACTGTGGCTTCTCCACCCTTGCCACGTCAGGACTGTCTTCGCTACTGGAAGGAGGCCACACACCGTCTCGCACCGAAGCACCGGAGAGATACTATGTCATGTGTGCAGGTGGATGACACTGAGGGCCCTCTCTTTTACCTGGCCAATCCAAGGTGTGAAGGTTGTCGTCTACATTACAACCGTTTCCGTCCGGTCACCACCCGCCTCATTCCTGAGCATCCAGAGGGTCGTAGGAACAAGATGCCTAAATACAAGCCGACCCCCAATACCGGAGACATCATTGACCTCGAGGCCATGGACTGAGGCTCAGACCCCTTGCACGGAAGCTGTGCCCTACGAGGTCGTCGGGACCGGAACGCAGACTTTAGATGCACCTAAGCCGCGGAAAACTCAACACTGTCACATCGGCATTGCCATGCCATTTTACAGCCCACATATGAGGGCGGAGTCGATTTCACATCTCTATTTCTCAGCACAGAGCCTCTCCGGTCCCAAAGCCGGGGGTCGACCTATGAAACTCCCACCATGCAACCAGCGTGGATGTCACCAGTTCGGCAAGCCACCTGCAACAAAAAGGTCGATTGGGGTGAGGGTTGGGAGTGACTGCCGCCCACTCTTGGAACCAAAGATCCCACTTGCTGGGTTCGGAGGGAAGCCGTGGCATGAGCATCACCACTGTCTCATCCTCACAGGGACTGCCCTCGATGGCTCCCTGTCTAGTACTCCACAGCTGCAACCCATGCCTCGGACCTCTCATTTACTCTCATCACAGCGAGAAACTCTTGTAAGCATCAGTCCATGCCCTACCTCCACCTGGGCCAGACTGGATCAGGGGTGCCCCCGCGTGGAGCATCGTGTTGCATTGTACTATGTGCCTGCTCTCAAGCCCCGATACATGCTTCGCTATCTTCGCAAGATCCCAGTTTGTCTGTATATGCTGTAATGGCTTCAGCACTACCGCACCTTACCCGCTCCATGACATCAGGCGGGGCTGCTGCGTCTCGTCGGCTGTCTGATATGAACTGGGCCCCTGCTGGCGGTGACCTGCCTCCAGGTACTGCAGACAGCATCAGACCTACTGGCGCGGCCGCTCCGTCGCGCAAGTGTGGCCCCTGGAAGCTTAGATGGATTATGACTGCAACCCTTGTTGCGCCAACCTCTGTCTGGACAGAGGCCTCCTGCTACGCCTGGGAGCCCTGCGCCCACCAGCCAAACTCAGGCCATGACCGCTCCCTCTGCAGCATTTAGCTTTGCCAGGAAGCGCTCCTACAAAAGAGCTGAGCAGCCCAGCATGAGGATCAGCGCACGGTCTACAGAGGCCGCGTCTGCACACTCAGACAGCTCTGCCGAGGTTACCAGGGAGCACGAGCCACACCAGACCCGACTAGGCAGCTCCGGCAGGTGGCCTTGCAGAACAGCCATGACCGCATCCTTGCCATGACCTGGAATGCCCATCGTCTTTCCTCCCACCTGTGGCAGGAACTCTTGCTGACGGTGGTTTCATCCTCAGAGGTGAGAAACCAGAAGGGCTTAGCCCTCGGCCGTAATGGACGAGGAATATCGCGGCTCACTACTCTGGGCTGCCTTTCGGCTGGCGCTTTCGCGGGCGGTCAGCAGTAGCAGCCGTGCCTCCAGAGTCTATGCCATGGTCGGCGACTTCGGCAGTGGCCCCAGTCTTAGTAGGCCTTGTGGTCGATTGAGGCCAAGCACGGCGCGTAGTCGGCTCAGCAGATTGGCCAGGCGTGGTGGTGTGGCCGTCATGGCTGGCAGCCTTGGCCTTCGCGCTTCCATGACTGGCAGAGCCGGGTAGGCGGCGTGGTTTCCACCCAACGGGAGCAGGAGCAGGCTTAGGCGCCAGGGCCTCAGCTGGGACCATCGTCGTAGGCGTCGGTGTGGCAGGCTCAGGAGTAGGTCCAGGTTCAGGTCCAGGTCCAGGTGTGGGCACCGAGGATGTCAGAGTTACCGGGGGCCCGGCAGGAGCAGCGTCAGGTCCAACGGTAGTCGCCGTGGATGTCATGGGCTCAGCCGGTGCAGTACCAGGTCCAGAAGGCGGGGGAGGCGAGGTCGGATACTCCTCGACACGAAGCCACCGTCTCCTCCGCAGAGGCCATGGAAGGGGCCTTGTCTGGTGCGGAACAGGGAGGGATAGACCTCCTCTTGGGCTTCGGTTTGGCGTACTCCCTGGGCTGAGCAGTGGTGGCCGTCGACCTCTCAGCAGATGCCGCAGCTTCGTTGGGAACCTCGGCCTCAACTTCCACTTCCACCCATTCTTCCTCGTCCTGCGACTTGGCAACGGAAGAGGCCTCCGCTCGCACTCGTTTGGGCTGCGGTTGAAGCCGAGGAGCCTTGGTGTCCACCTCAGTGCCCTCAGCAGCCGTCATCGCCTGGGTATCATCAGGGCCAGTGCTCTGTCGCTCAGGTTTTGGCGGCACTAAGGTCGACAGCGACTGCCACCCCAGCAGCCACCGGGCAGTGTACACCGTTAGTGGAGGTGGTGTGACTCTCCACCTCAGTGACGCGTCCATGCCGTCATCCTGAACTTGCCCCTGGGGAGGTCTGTAGACGACATGCGCACGATCTATTGTGTACACCTTTCTCCGTTCCTCAGCCGAGCCCTCTAACACACGTATGTTGAAGGCGGAGTCGTGTAGGTCCCCACTCTTCAGAATGACAGCGTGGTATCCATGAATTTTGCTACGCGCACCGCCAACGACTGTCACATCCGTGCCTGCTGTCAGCTCGTCGGCCTTGCAGATGAGGTCGGCTTCTAAAGGCGCTAGTGGGACCCTCGGCTGCTTTTTGCCCATTGCTGCAAGTCTAGCAGGGGAAGGTAGCCCCGGCCTAGACCTTGATAGCGCTGCGGAAAAGGCCACATGGAGCTCCACATCATGCAGTCAGAGTGCAGATATGACTCAGATGGGCTACAAGCTGCAGAGGAAAAGTACCTGCACTCAGCTGGGCCAGCGACGGGGAGGATGTCGGAGGCTGTACTCCACCATTCGGCCCTGCAGCCTCCTTCTTGGGCTGGTAGGGCCCAGGGGTGGACCTGAGAGGTCTGGGCAGGGACCCAGGTAGAGGGCCAAGGCTGACAGGGGCTTCCGGCGAGGCTGAGATTGTATCCTGTGACGGCGCCGCAGGGGTCCCTCCTGAGCAAAGAGAAAGGCTGGAACGAGCGGCCGGCATCTCGGCAGTGGCCTGCCAGGATAGCCATGGGCAGCACCATGTGGGAGACCTCAGGTGACAGTGCATAGCGCACTGGCGATCGCACGGGGAGGGGCCTAAAGGCTGGGTTGCTCTGGCACAGAGATGGCTCAACCTTTCCAGCCTCAGCACGATCCATTAGTCCGAGGAAGAGGTGCCGTGGACGGCTATGCACAGAGCCCGCTGCGACCTGCGATTGCTCACTGCGGGTTATGAGGCTCGATGATGACCGTGATCTTCCAGCCGCCACTGCCTTGGCCTTCGTTGACTGACAGAGCCTGGTGGGCGGCATGGTCTTGGCCCAGCAGGGGCAGGAGCAGGCGTGGGCGCCAGGGCCCCAGCTGTGATCGTCGTCGTAGGCACCGGTGTAGTGGGCGCAAGGGTAGGTCCAGGTCCAGGTCCAGGTCCAGGCGTGGAAGTTGTAGGAGGTACCAGGGGTCCGGCAGGAGCAGCATCAGGTCCAGCGGGAGTCGGGGCCGAGAAAGGCGTAGGCCCAACCAGCAGCGGCCCATGCATGTGCTGCAAGTGTTGCACCGGGGTGACAAAGCAGGTTGCACCTGGTGACAGAGCCGGGGTCGGAGGCGGAGGCCCAGAAGGTGGCAGCTCAGGACCCGCCTTTGCTTCTGGCGGGGATCTGCTCCTTGTTCTCGACGGATCATTGACCGGCACTGGTGGCGGCGGTCCATTCCTGGCTGACCCTGAGGCTGTCGCCACATCTCCCGGCTCGCTGCTGGTGTCCTCCCAGATCCTCCGGCGCGTGCTCGGGCTCGTAGACGAGTCTGAGTCCATCGTGCTCCTGGCCTTCGCCTGCTCGCTTTCGGCACCGATCGGACCTTGGGTACGGGGCCTCGGCGATTGGGCGGCATGCTTGCACCCTAGCTAGGCTTCCTGTCCAATCTCGAGCCTGGTGCATGCCCACGGGATCATGTGCTGACAGGTTTTTTTGC